TGGACTGTTTGATATTATGGCCTGTGATGCAATGAACAGCTACTTTGAAGAAAATAAAACATCATAATAGCTAGTGCTGATTTAATACCATCTTGTCTTAAAGCCGCACCAAACTATGGCTCTTCTGTCTCCATTGATTTTATCATGTTGTAGCTTGCTGGATTTTATCGTATGTGGTAGTATAAACAAAAATTGTTATAGGCAAAGAGACAATATAGAAACCATTGATCATTTTTTCTGTTAGCTGGTTCTAAATACTCTACAATGCTTTCATCCACTTGAAGGGTGTTACACAGCCTTGAAATGTTTGATGCATAGCATATGAAGTTATATTCAAATATTTCAAAGAAAAAGACACTAGGGTAATTACTATTAAGTCGGGTTATTTGGTGAAGCACTAGGTTGCTGAAAGTGTCATGCTTTAACCTGTATTATGTTGTTATGCCCCCTTTTATCTCATCTTCTCCCTTATTCATTAAAAAATTATTTAATTTTTTAAATTCCTTTTTTAAGCTAAGGGGAAAAAATAAAAAATCTAGCAGGATATATTATAGTAACTTTTTTGATTTCCTATCAACCTGAAGTCCTGTAATACCCCCGTTTTCTTGCTTTGACTGATTAGACTATTCTGCTCTGGTATGAAAGTATCAAGTATCAGAGTATAGACAACTACTTTAAAGGCAATAAAATTCACTATCATGCCCATTCTGGTTTGACTATTATCCTCTTTTGAGATGCTGTAAGATTTACAAAGTTTAGGTTTTATTAGTCTTGTTCTCTACTGTTATGTTTAACTTTATAATACCTAAAGAGATAGACAATTCTTCTTAAGGATACAAGAGGCATTATGCTAACCATTGCTGATAACCTTGTACTCTGTTTTTACATCATGTGCTATGTCTACCCTTGGTTTTGACTGACAGCTTTGTTTTATCATGCTTGATTTTATTCTTACAAAAAAAAGTAGTAAGATCTAAGGGAGCAATTAAGCCCAAAATGTGTAAATTTTGTTGTAATAAAGAGAGGGAAAGTGCCCTGAAGGATACAACAGCAAGGGTTTTTATGTGTGTTACATAGAAGACCGTATCAATAGTTTGGATTGGATTACTGAACACAACTGTTTGCAGTCTCACTGTTTGCTTTGTGTGCTTTGATCCTGTGACCTGAAACACCGTTTCTAAGATGATAGCGAGTAATCTATTAACTGGTGATAGCAAACTGTTTTTTTGTTTTTGTTTTTTTTTTTTTTTTTTTGCTTTTCTGTAGTTCTGAATTACTTGTACCCTTACACTGTTTTGTTTTGTTCTGCTTTTTTTTCTCTTTTTCCTTTTAAATATTTTTTAAAAATAAAAAATAAATTTAAAAAAAGTACCGGGGTTTTAAAACTTTAATAAATAGGATATAATCTCACAATAAAGGACTGCTCCAAATATTACTGAAAGATGCATCATCCTACTTTGTGCGCTGTAGTTTCTGGTAAGTTCTTATCTAAGGGTGAGTTTGCATTTTAGTTTGCACATTCTAGGATTAAAAATCAGCCTGAAAGCTGGAGCCATCTCGAATCTTGCACTCATAAAGACTACACATAACCAGACAAGTCTGTTGCACTAAAACTTAAGTCTATGTACTAAAACTTACCAAGTGATTTGGTTTCCCCAGTAGTAAGGTATCAAAGCATTTGTTGCCAAGCTTGAAAATTTTTCAAAAATGACAACTCCTGACAAGTTTGTAAAATATCACTTCAAAATTTATTCAAATGAAATCCACTTTCATAAGAAACAATAACTATGAACCATTCGAGCCAATATAAACATACTTTACTTCTTCCTTCCTTTTTCCTAAATAGACAAAATAATTCCAATTTATATTGCTTCTATTCTCAGTAGAAGACTCAAGGTATTATGATATATAATACACTTGTCTGCAAAACATAGAAAATATGAATTTAAAAGCCAAACAGGGACCTTGGGCTAAAGGCCTGATTTCACACTAAATAGCTACTCTTGAAAACCTGACACACTAAGATTCCAGAAATTCATCTCTTAGTGCTTACAGAACTTAGTATAATAAATTATAAGCAATCAAAAATAGGTCCCCAAAACTATATTCACTTGTTTCCTTACTCAGCATGCCTGGTTTGGCCCATTAATTAGCTTCAACCACAAGCATACAATCTTTCTTTCTTGATCTCGAATGCCACAATAAGGAGTAAACCATGGCTTGAAGTGAGTGCTCTCAGATGACACAAGGGAACTGAGCCAGGTTAAGTAAACACACAGTGCTCACCAAGTCCAGAGAAATGATTCACATTCATACTTTAGTTTCAAACAACCAAAAAGCCTTACTCAAAAATGGTCAGGTGATAAGAAAAGTCTCAAGATGTGTGGAGGTAGGGTGGGCTAGGCCAGGGCTTGACATTCTCCTAGCTCATACTGTGGGATGACTGCAAAATTCTGTCACATCCAGATAGTGCCACACTTGAGAAGACAACTGTTTTTTCTGAACTTCAACTTTTAAGAAGTCCCCAACAAAGCTGGATAAACAGTAAACACCTATAATTCAGCACTCTGAGAGGCTGAGGCAGGATCACAAGTACAAGCCCATCTTGGGCAATTTAGCAAGACCCTGTGTCAAAAGGAGGGAAGGGGGCAAGGGAAGAGGGCGGAAGTGAGGGTACAACTCAGAACAAAGGTGTTGGGTTCAATTCTCAGTACTGTAAAAGGTCTCCAACATCTCACTAGCTCAATTTGGACACCTCTACTATCAGCTACAGGACTAGATTAGACCTAGTAGACAAAGGTAATGGTGTCAGCATCCCCTGAACACGTGGATGCAGGGAAATAGAGGACAACTTAAAAATATGGCCTCTGCTGTGAAGGATGAGACATTAGTACTGGGCCACAATACCACTGACCACAAGAAAAGAGCAAGACAGGCTCTTCCTGCTCCACTTCAGTAGACTGTGTTATGGGCCAATGACTCGTTTCTTTAATAAACATGACAATCAATGCCCAAATCTCTTCCGGGACGTTACTCAATTTGAGACTAATGGGCTTTCAAGACAGAATCAGGTTTTTTAGAGACAACTACATATGCAATGATTATTTTGTTAAAGGGCAATAAAAACTCAGAAATCACTTTACAAACAAACAAGACCTAAAAATAGTAATGTGCTAGCTCAAATAACCAGTATAACAAATGCAAAAGAACTATTACAAAACCTAACATGATTTAGCTAAGAGAATGGCTAAATACATTATAGTTTGTGAGAGGGAGAAAAAAAGACTGCAGGCCAGAAAGGACATAAAGAATTTAAGTCTTAAACCAACAGACAAAAACCAATTCATAAACACCTGATTCATTAAACGTATCAGGAATATTAATTGGGGCAGACGTAAGGTGTATAGTTAACAGCATTTAAAATTTCTAATCAAGAAACATATAGTTTATTCTGGAGGAGATAACTAAAGTCCAGGTAAAATTTCTTAGGAATTGCCAGGTAGCAGAAAGTTGAACCTTGCAAGTACCTGAACTGTTATTCTCCAATGAACTAGTAATCTTTCTACTAGCAACATTTCAAGTTGATTTTATTAATGGCTAACATACTGTTATCACCATATAAATGAATTTTTAAAATATTTTTAATAGGAATGATGTTCTGGCTCAAGTACCAAGCATCCAACTTCAATTTTTGTTGCTCCACTTTGACCATTAAATTTCAAATACAAAAGTTGCTAGATAGGCATTATCAGTTTCCTAATTCTGCAAAGATCTTCAAATTGTAAATCTTTACAATTATATAACCACTAAGATTACTCTTAAATTTCAGCCCCAATGAAAAGCAAAATATAAAAAATAATAAAAGAGAGACAGGAAGAAGGTAAAGAGATAAAGTCAGGAGGGAAAGGGTATAAAGAATTGAGATGTGTAATGTACATGCACCAACTCCATAAGGAATGTATTACGTACTGCAAATATGCACTAATAAAAAAACTGGAAAAACCCTCAATCCCAACCAACTTAATAACAACTCAAATCAGGAGTAACTTACTGGAAAAATTCTATCTTATAAAGTGAGCATTGAATACAATGGCCTACCTAGCTCTAAAATGAGTTAAAAAGTTCATTCGAAAAAGGTTATCTTCATATTTAAGTCCAGGGATACACATTTCATGCATTGGGTTGAAGGACCCACATTGAGAAAAAGTTGCTCTTAAAAACAGTTTACTTTGATATCTTTATGTCTAGTAGTAACCAACATTACAGGACAACAAATATTGAATAATTAGCATTTGTTGCTACATTCTGACAGAAGGGAAAGTTTTAAGACTAAAATAGCCATTCTTGAACTTTTAATACTCAAAAGAAAGCAACAAGAACAAAAAAAAGACAACAGTATTTGGAATCAGAATTACATTTGAATTCTTTTTCTACCATAACTTTGAGCCTATTCTGAAAAATGCTTACCCATGTGACACTGCAGATGTCACATGGAAAACAGCACCACTCCAAGAAATTCTCTGAGGGGGAGCTAGCTATCTGACATAGGCAGGGATCATTAGGACTATTTTCAGTCCTGTTGACAGTCAATAAGCAGTATGTAGCAGAACACTGCCTTTTCCATTAGAGATCAGACTTCATATAATTTCTATAGCCTCTGGTATCATATAGAAAATTATTCAAGTGTCTACAGTGACACTTTCAAGAACTCTGAGATCATGTTTATGGAAACAGTAAGAGACTACTTGTTCAGTATACATTTAATTTGCTGTATTATCTAAGCAAAAACAATGAAGTCAAAGACTTTAGAGCACTAGAAGGTGGAATGAATGAATGAGCATTATTTTCCTCAATCATCTCAAGTAACTAAAAAATTTTTATATTCTACCCTTAAAGCACTTAAAGCACACAGGAACTCACAATCACACATCTGAAACACTGTTAAATACAAAGAATTTAAGTACAGACCTTCAAATATCCATCTAGAAATCACACTGGTCTTTAGTGCTAGTGAAGTACTTAGAAAAGTTTATTTTGTGCTTAGAGTATTTTTCTAAGGCATCACAAATTACACATCCAAACTCTTCAATGGTAGAGTATTAAGAGTCTAAAGAACAGGCCTTTATACTGTTGTACATTACTATAATAAAAATTTAATGGATTCACACAGAGAGAACCTAAAAGGGGGGGAAGACATTACAGAAATCACCTATCATATAATGGCTGGATGATTCCGAGTACTTATGGTTCTTCCCTTTCTTGTGGCTAACAGTCCTGTATCACACCTGCCCTTTGCTGTCAGGTAAAAATTATATGGTCCACGTGGCTGAGATCCACCTGAGGAATACCACCCAGTATCAGCAATCAAGAGCAATAAAACCTGAAATCTGTCTTTTCAAAAAACATTAACAATTTTATCAATTTTATGCTATGATTTTAAAACATCAAGCATCCACTAACTGAAAATGCAATTAAGAATTCTGCATGTGATGAGAAAGATACAATGAAAACATATACATGTTTTTTCCTGAGCAGAATGCAAATGTTATTTTTTTACATTTTAAATTAAGCTCTGAATATCTAAAATATAAAATACCAAAGCTTTTCTATACCAAATAAAAATGAGGAATGTTCACCTCCATATAAAAACAAAAAAAACACACATACAAAAAGAAAAGTCAAGACAAGGTTCAACAACCATACTGTAGTATCTGGACTGATTGACCAAAGTTAAAATTTTCAGTAGTTCAATTTGATGAATCTTTGTAAACTTCAATGTAGAACAACAAAAGCTGTTTACCTATAGTAAATATAATAGTGATACTGTTCATAGCATCCAATTTGAAAAATGTAACCATGGCAAAAAAAAAAGAAAAAAAAACCCCATACAACTGAAAAAAGGAATAAAACAGGCAATCAATCTTCATAGGAATCAAGAGAACACCAAGGACTTATAAAAACTTAACTCAGTAGCATATCCTATATATGATGTTAAAAAGAAAACTATAATTAAAGCAAGAGTTTTGGTTAGCTGCATAATCTAAAAAATGAGAAATTTGTGGACTATAACTCTAAAAGACCAAAATTATCATGCAATATACATTTCTTGAGAAAAGGGGCAAAGTTCCCATTTATGGGAAATATGTTCTTTTTTTCACACAGTGAAACTGAGAAAAAATATATCAAATGAGAAATTTTTTTCTCTAAGTAATCTTCTTAAATACCCCCATTAATGTAAATCTTAGGAAATATAATTTTTCAATTCAGTCTTGAAAGAAGTTATTACTAAACACACACAAATCTTATTGCTTGGCACCAGATTTTCTACAATTAAGGAACTGTTTAAACCTCGATGGTCTCAGGTTGTATTTCAAGCTTTTATATCTGTTTATATTTTCTGGAAAAAAAAGTTCAATGTCAACCTAGACTGAACTCTGCAATACATAAATCATAGTTCACTTTAAAACAAAAGAAATAATCAATTTTGTTTTGCCAGAGTCATAGTATTAAGGTCTTCATAAAAATTAACTAGGATTTATCTGTGGGCAACGGCGGACCCACAAAGCGCTGTCGTACGGCACTCTGAAGAGAAGAGTCTGTGTTCATTCCTTCTTTATTTTCTGCTTCTTCTTCTGAAACATCTTCATCAGCCTCTTGTTCTTCCACCATTTTTTTCAAAGGCTGGGAAAATTCTGGTAATGATTTTTCTTAAAAGACAAAAACCAGATAATGTGGCTTTATTGATGTATCATATTTGCTTTAGAGTAGAATCAAAGAAAAACGATTTATTTCAATTTCTAAAGGGAACAAATTAAAAATAAAAATGGTAAAGATTATAAAAATTGGTTTGGAAGACATGTTTTACTTATCAAATTGATTCTAAATATGCACTTAATTCATACACTGAATTAATGAATCAGTTTTAAAGCTGTAAATGCAGAAGATGTAAAAAAGAAATAAAATAGAACTATCATATTAATTTGCCACTAATCTGTTGGTCTATTACTAGAACTCCAACAGTGCAGTTCCCAGAGAAGCAAGAAACACAAATGTAAGATTAAAGGGTATGTCTTCTCCATATTTTTTCTAGTGAAGTGTGCTTCCCTTTCATCATCCATGTAAATTTTTTTTTTTTGGTGCCAGAGATCAAACTCATGATCTCGAGCTTGCCAGTCAGGCACTTAAGCCACTGAATTAAATCCCCAGCCCATCCATGTAATTTTTTAAGGCATAATTACAAATAACAAAATATATATGAAAGTTGCAGGTCACCCTTTTTATTTTTTTCAGGGCCAGTTGCTAGTTAAGTTCACACCACTCTAAAACTACCAGTCATGGGCAACCTGCTGTTTCGTCTGCCTGGCATCCCTTTCACTGCTGAGTTAATAGACTCTGTCCTTTATCACACTCGGTGTGGTTCTATGTGAGCACACAGGTTATCTCCACCAAGAGCAGTCCTGTCCTCTAGACTCCGGAAGGGCTGAAGATAACTTCAGCTGTCATACCTAGGACAGTGCTATGCGCAACTAGCTTTACTGAAACTTTAAAAGTTGGTAAAGAGGGCCAGGGATATAGCTGAGTGGCACAAGCACCCGCCTGGCAAGGCCCAGAGTTCAATTTCTGGCATCAAAAAAAAAAGTTGGTGAATAAACGTTTTATAATTCATTTCACTTCAAAACCTCATCTATTAACTAATCTGTGCCTACATTTTTCCCCTACAGGTCAGTGGCCCTTGTTGGATAAAACAATTCCTACTTCTATACGCAACCCTCTTAGCACAAACACATCTAAGAATAAAAAAGATGACCTACTAGGTATTTGAAGGACAGTGTTGCCAATGAAATATCCATCATTTTCATTTCAGGAGCTTTGGCCTTGATAAATCCCAAGTCAAGAAAGGCATTATCAGAATAAATACCAGGTCATGAGTCTAATTTAGGTCTATGTTCAGCTAGGGCATCCTTCATCTCCTTTAACCTAACTACAAAAGGAGGCCGTATCACCTATGCAGTAAACCACAAAGTTGCTGAAAAGCAAGGGATCGTACTAAGTGAAAATTCTATACAAACTGCAAACAGGAGGTCCTCCATATATAGTACAATCTTCCAAGATTAAAAATAAAAGGCTAGATAAGCAATTATAAGTAGCAATCAATGCTTCTAAAGATATAAACCTCTTCTGTAGTATAGTATAATCAACTATATGAAATTTTCCCAGTATCCTTTCAAAAAAGTAAAAATTAGATACAATCTTCCAATGTGATCATTATACTAATGAATGACTTTAAAAGTAGAATATATTCAAATTTAAAAATTTTGTCTCAGATATATATATTCAAACAGATCCATGAATAACATACAATTCTGAAATACCAGATGAATGTTATTAAATTATCTATAGGCTATTATGTAATGCTGAAATTCCTTTTACTGTAAGAATCAAGAAAATAGTAGTGATCCAAAATCTACTGGACTACCACAAAGTATGTATTTCCCACATGAAACATGTATCTATCCCTTCCTTCCTTTATGCTATAGCCAAAAGAGATGACTGCACTTAGGAACCTGAATGCAGGCCAACCTGTTGAAAGAGAATGACTGTTTATAGCAATGAATAACAAATGAAAAGGGCTGAAGACGTAGCTCAGTGGTAGAGTGCTTGTTCACATGCACAAGGATCAAGATTGGATCCCTAGCAGAGCCAGAAAACAAAATACCAATACCTTAAATATACTTACTTGAAGGATGTGACTGCGGTTTGCGCCTTTTTGAAGGACAAAGGCAATCTGCCACAAATATCATACACTGCAAGGCAAAGAGAAATTTGAATGTATAACATAACACAACTAGTGCCACTGTACTAGTATATTTTAAAATATTCTGCTACATGTGGTGGCACATGCCTATAATGCCTGATTGGTTAATCAGGAGGCTGAGGCAGGAAGACTCTAAACTCAAGCCTAGCCTGGACTACACAGTATGTTTAAGTCAGCCTGGAATACATGGTAAGACTATGTCTCACAAAACCTAATAATAATAGTAATAAAATACTTTTCTCCCTAGTTTTTCAAAGTACTTACAAGTCCTAATAACAGTCCTGAAAGCAAAGTTGCTAAAGCAAAAATTGTGTATGATCCCCAAACTGGTAGTCCAAGGTCTTCAATAAAATAGTCATAGCAAGTCTGAAATTAAAAGAAAAAAAACTAGTAATTTGCTCATTTAAAAAAGTAGTAACATTACAAATATTTGAGGTAAGAAATTCTTTAATCCATACCCTGATATACATAGAAAGTCGAAAGAGTGCTGACATACTAGTCATCCTAAAATAAAAAGAGAAATGGTGAAAAACTGAGTAAGAGACACAGCTTTGTCTACAGCTATACATTCTATTTTCTACTCTATAATTTCCTCAACGTGACAGATCTTATGGTCTTAAGGCTGATGTGTATCAAGATTAGAGACACATCACTGACTTCATTCCTGTAATAAGGATTGCTCATAAAAAGTAAGTTTCGGAATTGCTATGTCACCTTCTAAAAATACAATACCTCATAATTTCCTTTTGTTTCCTCCCACTGCATCAACATTAATCTTTACCTTTCATCTGATTTCCACAACATATCAAGTAAAAGGTTATAAGCTCTATGAAACCAGATGAAAGTGGCAATTCTTACTATTATAATATTGCAAAAGACAAGCACAGAAGGGATTCTGAAGGAACAACTGGTAGGACTTGTTAATCCGATTCTTTCCAGTTAAGAATTATCTCCTCGGGGGCTAGGGATTTAGCTCAGTGGCATAAGCGCCTGCCTTGCAAGCAGGCAGTCATGGGTTCGATCCCCAGTACCAATAAAAAGGAAAAAGACCAAAAAAAAAAAGTTATCTCCTCAGTCTGGGGCTGTAGCTCAGTGGTAGAGCACTTGCCTAGCCATGCCCTGTATTCAATGCCCAGCACCTCAAAGCAAAAAAAAATTATCTATTTTGCTAAAATTAAAATTTGTAACAGCAATGGTATGATAACATTTAACAGCATACACATAACTACATAGAAAATTAATGCTGTCATCATAAGTATATTGCTTCTGCATAACGAAATTCAGCTTAAATGGCTGTTTAAAAAAACAAGGATTTGTATATTTCCAATCACGTTTCCCTCTGGTAAGAAATATAGCAGTTATCCCCCAAAGAAGACTTTTTCACACTGAAGCCAAAAGGTGGCTGGGTCTAACTGCGAGGTTCTGGGTGGTGGATGGTGAGCCTACTCTACTCATGCTGGGAGCTGCTGCTGCTGTTCAGCGGCAACACAAAAGGTACAGCAGGGTTGGGTTCAAGCACAAAGCTCTGGAGTACAAAACAAAAGTATAACCTGCTGCCTTGGGGGTTCGACAGAAACTCACACCCAAGCACTTTCTTTGACCTTGTTGCTTGTCTAAAAGGCTGAGTGGGAACAGCAACAGGAACTAAAAGGTAAAGCACTGCATACACATACGCAGCCTCATAGTCTGCACTGATTATGCTATACCAGGAGTGTCCTGGTAACTCAGTTGGACACGGCGATTGAGTGGGGTAAGTTCTGGCTGCTAATGGACAAGTCAAAGGTTGTGCAAGACAGCCATAAAAGGCCAAGTGTGGCGACGCACACCTGTAATCCCAGCACTCAGGAGGCTGAGGCAAGACTCCTATGAGTTTAAGGCCTGCCTGGAACATACAGCAAGATCCTGTCTCAAAATGAGCAAACAAAGAAAGGCATGAAAGACAAGACATACTGTACTTCCACTGAAAAATACACTTAGGGCTGCTCCTTCCACCACTTTCAGAATCCAAAGCATTTTTCTTTTATATGGTTGGTGTCCTGGCTCCCCATCCTCCAAGGGCCATATGGTAAGGGGCCACAAGGAAATCATAAGCTCCACAAAACTCACTATTCCCGAACATCTCTTAACTGACAAGTGAGGCCTTGTACCCCAAATGTGTAGCAAGAAACATGCCTGTCACCCCCAATCCTAAACATTAAGGAAACTGTAACTATATCATCCCATTAAGAGTCATTGTTCACTATGAGTCACATTCATATGACCAATCAAACTCAATCAAACCACTTCACATTAAGAACTAAAGTCTAGGGCTGGGAATATAGCTCAGCGACGTAACTGCCTGCAGGGAAGTGCAAGGTCCTGAGTTTGATTCCCAGTACCACAAAACAAAATGAAAAAAAAAAAAAAAAAACTAAACTAAAGAACTGAAGTCTAAAGGCAGTGTAACCACATAAAAGTCTAAGTCCCCTCATTCATATTACTTCACTCAAGCCAGAGTACTATCCACTATACTGTTCGCTATATTCTGGGAATTATTTACTTTGTTATGATGTATATGACCACATCCACAAGGTTAGAAGTATCACTAAAAAGGCATTAAATTTATTTCTATAGAATTCCTCTGTCTACTTTAACAAGCAATAAGATGTTTGACTTATATCAATTAAAAATATCAACCTTTATTTCAGAAGTTAAGAGCATAAGTACTTGCATGTCCTATGAAATATAATTATATATTCCCATTAATTCTGAGTAAGATTTAAAAAAATCATTATACTTACAGAATAGAACTTGGACCAAACCATGAGGAAACAGGTTCAATACTCTTCCATTCTTTTTCACTTATAAAGTTTATGAAGTCATTCTTGGTCCTTGGACCCTGGTAGCGCCTAATTTCACCATCTTTGCAGCTAAAGATCAAAAAAAGTATAAACTACTACTGACAAACAAATTTTTTGTTTTACTACTTCCTCACTCCATTTTACAACCAATCCCCCCAATATTCAAATACATTAGCAAAGCACAAAAAGCTTATAAATTACTATAGGGCTAGGGATGCAGCTCAGCAGCACAGCGCCTGCCTGGCAAACCAAGGTCTTAAGTTTGATTCCCAGGACCAAAAAATATTTTTAATTAAAAAAAAAATTACCCACTAAATTATGTTAGCCCCAAACATAAACGATCATAAGCCTTAAGACTTTGTTGCTAGTTTCAAATAATAAAATTATGAAACACACAGCAGATAAAACCTCAGAAAATTGTATTTAAGCCTTATTTGTAATGCACATATTAAAAACTTACTAGAATACTAGCTGACACATAATAACCAACTATTTTTAAAACTCTTAAGTTAAAAATTTAAGGTATTTTTCTGTTACATTTAGTGTTCAAGGCATTGGTAGAACGGTTCCCTCCCAGGGATTTCTGTGCTCCTATTCAGAGTCAACTGTATCCCCCTGCCTTCCCCATACCAGGAATACGCAGAGCTCTGTCTCACTTGCTCTGTCCCACAGCAGTGAACGCTCTTCCAGATGCACAGGACCAAGCACAAAGCCTCAATGGCTCCCTACTGCCAACAGCAGGGCAGAGGCAATCCCCTACGCATTCAGAGAGAGAGACCAAAGCACCCACACCACACCCTAGAACACAAAGTTTTGAAGAGCAAGTGGCATCCAAACTGTTCTTTGAAGGATGAGTATGATTACAACAGGCAGAAAAGTTGGAAAAGTAAAAAGCAAAAAGGAGGGGCCGGGGATTTAGCTCAGCGGCATAAGCGCCTGCCTTGCAAGCAGGCAGTTGTGAGTTCGATCCCTGGTACCAATTAAAAAAAAGAAAAAAAAGCAAAAGGGGAAACTGATTATAGCTAGCTAAAGGTAACATGGGGAAAATCACTGACTGAAAAAGGAGGGCTAAACATGTAGAGAGATAGGGAATAGAAATTTAGATATAAAAAGGGATGAATCCAAAAATTGGGCAAATAAAAGAAAAAAAAAAAAAAGAAAAGCAAAAAACAAAAGGAACTGCCAATTTGTTCTCCTAATGTTAAATGAGCAGAGAAATACCTTCTGGTATTCTGCCCACAAGCTAGGTGACATCAGAGTGCAGGGTAGGTAGACAAATTTGAGATTTCCAACCTTCAGTTTAGAAGATAAAATCAAACTAAAAGAAGTGACACTGCAGATTATACCAACTTGTTCATTCTAACTTGACACAACTGCATCACCCACTCTCTTCCCAAGGCTGTGCAATCACACTTGGCTGCTTTTCGAACACACCACGTTCCTACTGTTTGAGTTTGTCCTCAGAACGGAATGCTTATCCCACACACCTGCAAATGCAACTGCTAAGATTTCATCCTAAGCCTATGTTCTCAGAACTGCTCCAGCTAACGGTGATTTTTCCCTTCACCCAACCTCCCATGGGACTCACCGCCAATCTGGGACCACACCATTTCATATGAGCATCACCTCCCAAAACAACCACAAACTCTAAGAACAGGGACAGGTTCGTCCATCATTTGTCCATCTAAAGAACACACAGTACCACTCAAAGCAAAACAAATGCTCTAACAAACGCCTTCAGAATAGGAGATCATCTCTGCTCTTCAAACACAGTGCAAACCAGGAGCCCACTACTCCAAATACACTACATGCATCCTTCACCATAACTGAGAATCTTCAAATACTTACTGATAAATGGTAGGAAGAGCAGTTATGATAAATCGTCCACTCAGACCTACAAGTGATAAAGAATATTCAACAGGTTTTAAATGGACCATTCATAACTACTTACAAGATGATTTTAAATTTAAATACTAATAAGAATGTCAAATTATCCTAAAACAGTTACGATTTGCAATAAAGAATGAAAATATGAATTTTGTACTTAAAGAAACGTTGATGAGAGGAGCAACAATAAGGGCCACCAGCTACTGTATTACTAATCACATGTCAAGCTGATGACAGAAGATCAACCTCTCTGTGCCTCAGGTTTCTTAAATCTGTAAAGTGGGGATATTATATACTTTACTGGGCTGTACAAGTATTAAATAATGACTATAACCTTGGAAAGAGTGTTAGAATAGCTAAGTGCTCAATAAATTGCCCTTTTGGGGCAGGGTAGGCAGGCCACCAAAAACAAGCAGATGCAGGCTGGTCTGTGGAAGGAGCATTTCCAAGGGTAAGGCCCATCACCTGTGCAGGGTACCAAGCCAAAAGTGGGTATGACCCCACAACCACAAGGGATTGCCACATTACAATCCCACATCCTCCCAGCATAGGTATTCAATATGGAATTCAATTTCCAAGATTCAAATTTTGTCATCAAATGTGAGTACAACTTAAAAAAAAAAAAAAACCAGAAACCCATGTTCTTTATCCTGCAGCATAGTGTAGAGGGAAACGATCCCTCGACTGATCTCCACTTGAACCACAGTGTTCTAGGACTTCTGTGCTAGTCTGAAGCCGGGCACACAGACCAAAACAGGCAAAAGGAAGCTATGTGGGCAAGAAAGGGAAAGGGTGATGTCTCTAAAGCTCAACTAGAGCAACACTCAACCACAAATCTGCTTTTGCCGCTGTGCACAAAGCTCAGTGCAGGCAGGTGGCATCAAGTGGGCCTGACTAGCCAAGGACTGTTTTCATGCTTAACAGGTAAAGACCACGTAAGCTGGAAAACAGATAAACATAAACTCATCCAGCAAAGAAAGCAAAAGCAATCAGACTTAACAGTACCTGTCTGCTCTGTGACATCTACTTTTGCAACATTAATCTCAAGATCTTCTCCCCATTCAGCAAAACCTTCCCACTCTGGTTGAAGATTTTGACAAGCAGGACACCATGGAGCATAACTAAAAAATACAGTTAAAGAAAAAAGTTAAGCACCCGAACAACCATTTATCCTGAGATAAAACATAACATTATGAAGGTTAGTTTAGACATATAATTCATGACAGATATTTTATCTAAAAACACTAAAAATATGTGATAACTACATGAAAAAAGTGGTGTGTGGTCTCATCTGGAAATCTCAAAATACGAACTGATGTTAACCCCTAGAACAGCAAGCCTGAAAATAAATGTTTAAAGACACACGGCCTTTTCACATGCAAAATAGCTCCAGGAAGTTTAAGGTTTTTTTGGAGTTCAACAATTTTATTAGCTTTACACTACAGTCACAAATGTAAAATGTTGGAAAAATAGGAAGTGTCCCTGGGCTTGGTGAAAAAGGAAATGTAAGACACAGCTCAAGACCACAACACCAAGCAGGATCACCACAAGGGAAAGCTTGCCCAGGAAGGCAAGCTATTCATATTTTTCGACTTACATTTTAATGTAAAAATACTACTTCAAAAACTAACGCCTACACAAATACTAAGCAGGCTAAACAAAACTGTTTTGGTTAGGCTCAGGTCATCCTGTTTTCAAGGTTCTGGGTTTATAAACTCTAGGTCAACCACATTAGCATTTTAAGTACTTGTCTTGAATTTATTATCTTCCAAGTCCTAATTTTTCCCTAAAATTTTACTTTTCCACTTTATCACATATCTCCCAATGCACCTCAGCTTATAGAACCAGGAAGAATGATGCCTTTACTTGTTAAAACACAGATAGTTTCAGTATTTCACATTTTCTTAATTTGTTTAAGAAAGTCAAACTAAAAAAAAAAGCATTGTACAGCAAAACAAGCTAGTATTATATAAAAGCCAAACTCACTAGCAATAAATTGTATTACAATGAAAACAGCTCTGTAACTTCTGATCAGAAGTGAATTTACTTAAGTTACCAGGAATTAACAACAGATCAGAACTACTAACTTTTTCAATTTTATTGCTTCTTGGTGTGTTTTATAGACTTCCATTTTAGAACTTTAGTGAAGAAAAGGAAAACATTCTTAATAATTTCAGCTGAATGCTTTAATTTGGATTTAGCTCATATTCAATGTTTTGTTAGTTTTGTTAGCACTTCTGATGTAGTTTGACCAAACGAGTTAAAAAATATTCTTCAGAAATATTTGTATTTTGCACATAAATTCATAACCACTCTTGCATCACACATTGTTTGCAGCACTAAATACTGTATTTTATGAGCACAATGCAGTTAGGTAGGACAATGACTGAAAAATAAATGCTGTCATTGGTTTTATGTTCCCTCCCCAATGTCATTGAGTTGCGCATTATATGCATATTAAGTATTGTTCTCCGTATAAATATTCTAAGATTTTGGGTTTTTTTAATGACTTAAGAGGTAATGATTTTGGTCTTCTGGGTACTCCCTTGGGGAACTGTCCGCTTGGTTCCTAATGGCAACAACCCTAACTCTTAACTGTACCCTTGACATATAAAGGCACTAAGCAGTGTGTGGTTAATACTCAACAATGGTGCAGTATTAATATGGATAATATCACTCATATGAGTTGTCCTACGAACACCACCAGCAGCAATTTACCAACTTTTAAAAAGAACAGTTTATTTCTGCAGCAAGATATTACTAAAGAAGACATATGTAGTACTATATAAGACAAGTAATTTTGTCTATTGTGACCTGGAGCTCTTACAAAACGATGACTTAAACATGACTCAATTTCAATTTACTCAGCATTGACAATAAAAAAGGAAATGTACAGTACCTACCCCAAAATAAACCCCCAATTTCAGCACCACAAAATGGATAAATATAAATATTTCTTATGGTCAGAAAAAGATAAAGATTCTGCTCAACACTCTTTGCAATATCTAAAAGCTTGGCGAAGTCTCTTAAGGGTCGTAAAGTGAACTGTGTGGGAACATGTCAGACCCTCGGCCCAGCTCCCAATCTCATCCTCAAACCCATGCAGTAAAGTTAAAGAGAAAATTCGCTGCAGAACGGACCCCTGCAGCCACAGCCCTACAAACCAAACTCGGGCGCACACTTTGGAAATATTCACGGGCAGAGACGAGGAGCGGATACAGGCTCACAGAAGCCTGAGAAGTCGGGGAGCCGGAAAGCCGTCGCGGCGCCGTCCGCGGACAGCGGAGCCCGCAGCGCACAGCAAGACGAGGACGGGGCAAAAGCTGGGACCCTGGACCCCGAACCGCGCCGCGGGACCCCCGCCCCGCACTCACAATTCCACCATCCACTCTCCCTCCAGTAGCTCTCTCCAGTTCTGGTCCGTGAGGATGCGCACGTCGCTTCGCCGCCCGTGGGTCCAAGGAGTCCCCCAAAGAAGCAGCCCCAGGACTACGAGGGGAACCACGAGACTGCCGGAGGGCGCCATGTCGGCGGCTGGCTCACCCCTCCTCTGGAGCGATGGCCCCACCTCCTCACGGCAGCGCCCACTTCCGGCCTGGCGGGCCGCTCCGCTCATGCGCACTGCAGCGCGGCCAGGCGCGCAAGCCTACGAGAACTCAGTGCGCGTGACGCGACCCGGGTACCCGCGGACTGCGGCGAAGGGAAAGAGGCGCGACGAGCCGTAGTGCGCATGTCAGAAAAGCCGCCGCTGCCCACGTTTGGACGCTGGGGGACCCGGAAAAGCACGAGGGGGCGTGGCGCAGAGAGGAGGCGGTGCTTTTGGGGGGTGGTAACTAGCGAAACTGCTGGAGCTGGTATTTTGGTGCCAAATTGGGTGGCCGTTGTATAGAGCATTTTTGCTAAATTTTCATGGATGCAGTCGCCTTCATTGGTTTCCTTAGAAAGCTGTGTCATGAAGCCAATGAATGCTGATAGGAGTCTCCAGGAAATAGACTGGAGAAGGTGAGGAGGGAACTCTTTAGGGCATCCTCATTCTTCTGTCTCGGTATGAACAGTAATTAATAGAGCGTACCACATGTAAAACAAATTGAGGCGTCGATGTTTATTAGTGCGTTTTTGTCCAGTTTCGAATGTTTGTTGTCCCTCAAAAAACTGGTTGGTAGCGATCCCAGATTGGGACTTTATAATGGAAGAAAACATGGTTGGGTTGTAGAGAATATTCGAGATTTTCTTCCTCAAACATTTGTTAAGTGCAAATGCAAACCATAACATGCCCGTCTGTCAGATGAAAGTAGTTAGTATTACAGTTGCACACCTAACCTCCCCTGAGGCATGCCGTTGGCCAGCTTTCCCACCAGCATCAGCCCCAGCGGGCCATTCCGAGCCCAACGAAGTCAACTGTGCTTTCTCTGTATTCATCTCGGCTGAGTCCCAGCAGCACATCACTGTCACCCCACACACTGCAGTCATGCTGTATGGGTAGATCACATAGCTGCTGTTCCTCAAACTTCTTGAACAGTGGTCCTCAACTTCCAGACATTGTAGTACCTTGGGACACTGTACTGGTCCTTTATGTCTCTTCATAGCAATATAGTCCTCCACATAACTCAATTATTAGAAGCCTTCAATAACTCCTCTTTCTGATGTAAAAAAGTTTATTTGATTAGCTTATGAATAAAGCAGCCAGGTAAAGAGCTTGAGGTAGAGTTGGATGACAAACCACACAGATAACAATTACAATAAGAATAGACAGTGAACTAGGATTTGGGCCAAGAATAAACTTCCTCAGCCAACATGAAAGTCAAGCCTGCCCAGCTAAGCTCCTCAATTTTGAGGATCTTAAAATTCGAAACAACCACTTCCTCTAAAATCCCAGTTTCCTATAAACCCTATGAATTGAGTAACTGAGTTAGAGAGTTTGAGTTTTAATTGGTCATTTTAAATCCACAGAACCACCTGTGATAGGTGGCCCAAGTCTGCACTCAGTCTGTCCATTAGAAGTCTGGACTGAGGAGCTATGGAGAAATTCTACTTTTCAGGTTTGCCCCCAGGAGCAACTGGGAGCCTTTTGTTCTTCTCCTTATTTCCAATAAAAATGTCTCCTAACTTCTTCCTTTGATTTACAACTTCAATCTTCCATTTTTATGAAACCAAGAGCTTGATTTCTACAGTATTAACTGTCTCACTGAGGTAGATAAAATAAGGATTGGTAGAAAGGAGACAAAAACAAAAATTATATTTTTAAGAAGACTGCAACCCTAGGACGAAAAATTACTCTGGATTATCCATATCAGATGCCAGGCTTGGTGGCACACACCTGTAATCCCAGGACTTGGGAAGCTATGGAAGGAGGTCTGTTTCAAGTTCATTGCTAATCCGGGCTGTGAAATGAGTTCAAGGCCAGCCTGAACTGTGTAATGAAACACTGTCTCAAAAAGACAGAAAAAAAGAGATTATTCATATCCGTCTTCCCAAGGTTTGTTTATACTTCTTTTCTTCTAGGCCATCCCACCCAAATTCCCTTAAAACTACATAACATCTACAAATTACTTGATAAAGGACAGAAACCTGACTTTGAGATACAGGAACAGATTGAGAGAGTTCAAAGAATGTTTTTTAGGAGAAACATCTTAAGTTATCCCATGCCCCACTCCAAAAAAAAAATGGAGTTCATGTAAAATGGGTCATTATCTTTCTCTGGGTGGGTCACCTTCCCACATCAAAATGGAACTTTCTATAGATTCACAAATTCAACAGATTTCCACCTTCAAAACCATAAATACTCCCAGCTCCAGACACACATCTGATTTCTCTGAATACCCAACTCCACTATTCAATATGTATTTTAAAAATTCTGCCTAATAAACACTTTTACACCTCTTTCTAACCAGTCCTAAATGTTTGTTCAGCAATGGGGGTCAGCAAAACTGCTATTTAATTATTACATGGGTAGGGTGGGTTTAGGCGCTCTACCTGTGTACTGGAAATCTCCAGGACACTATCAGTTAATTAATGGATTCTGGTTCCACAGACTCCTTTTAGAGTTTCTTTCTAGGTTACTGTCCTGAATAGAGACTTGGACAAAACAAGTGTGAAGGGTAGCAAGGTTTTGTTATAGGTGGTTGAGTTAGTTGCAAATATTATAGGCAGTTAGACAGGGCTGAGCCCTCAAAGGAGCCAGTACAGAAGACCAGATACCTTGCAACATTGGAGAAGACAAACACCTCTGCTGTGGGCCAGACCTCCAGACTAGAAACAAAAACAAATGCAACCACACCCTAAGTATAAACATCACAGACTGATAGAATGGGTCACCTTGAGGAATCCAGAAGCCACTGTCCCAACTCCCTAGGAAAAGTCACTGCTCTTTAAGCATACCCTCTTGCTACGTGACTCACTTCCCCATTTGTCCCTGATTTGGTCAATTTTATTTGAACAATTAAATTTCTCCTAAAATTAAATTATATACCACAGAAGAAAGCTTTAAAAAAATCCCAGAAGCCAGAGGTAGTGTAGTACAACTGCCTGTCTCATGGTAAGGCCCACTTCTATCACCAGCTAATGCGGACTGTTTTCTCTTTTCAAAATATCAATAATTAAAACAAGCAATGTTCTAGCAATGTCTTTGTGATACCCTGTGTCAGGCGCTAGACCTTTAGTTTCCGGGGTAATCTCTTTGTGAGGAAGGTGGGGTTGGGGGAGAAGCCAGTAAGACTGCAGCAGCTGGGGGCTTCTCAGGGTAGAGGAGAGACACATGGTTCTGATAGGATTATTTCTAAAAGATGAAAAATATTTCCAAAAGATGAGAAGTATAAAACAAAAAGTGGCCTTTATTCTGAGAACATGGAGAGAGATGGCCAGCACCCCCCACCGCTGGTGTGTGGTGATGATCTCTCTAGCGGACATGTGGCATGAGGGGTATTTAAGTAGCCTCGGTTTGAGGTGGAACCTAAGGTGGGTATCAGGGATGCACAGGTAGCCCATTGGTCCTAGGTTTGGTGCCATAGGTAAATTCCCAGGGGCGGGAAGATGGCGTCACAGGTAAATTCCTAGGGGCGGGGATATAAGGGCTTCCTGGTTCCGGTTGAGGCTTTCCTGGCTACAGAGTCCTGTCTGGGCCAAAACCCTTTCAGGTTCTAGGTGTGCACAGTATAATATCTTAACTAGTGCAACTTTACTGTCACAGTATGGCTAACTAACATCTCAAGCTAGATTGTTCTTCCTCTAAGTACTAGCTTTTTCTTATTTTGGTTTATTTACTTAGATTTAGGACAAGGAACTATTTGTGATCTGCTTTCACTCCTTCTATTTACCATGGAAGTTCTAAAAAAATTATTAAATTTGAGTTACTAAAATCAGATGAACCCTCTAATTAATCAACTATCACGTCCTGTTGATTTTAATTTTTCAATTGATCTCATATCCACCTCTTCATTTTATAGTAATCACTTTGACAAAGACCATCGTCTTTTTGAGCCTATAGGATTTCTCTGTTTTTCAATGTGACATGTTCTTCACATATTACACAATTCACTATCCAGTGGTTTTTAGGATATTCGTGGACTTGTACAACCATCATCACAATCAAGTCTAGAATATTCTCATCCCTCCCAGAGAGAAACACATTCATGAGCAATTTCTTGTCTTTTCCGTCCACTTCTTTCCCCAGCCCCAGGCATATGCTTGGCTACTTTCTGTCTCTTGGTTTTGCATGCTCTGTATATTCCATATAAGCTGAATCATATAATTTCTAACTAACTTTTAAACTCCTTAAGTGCAGTTTCATCAAGTTCTTTGTTAAACCTGACATCTTGGCTCTTTCATGGGTAGCTTCTATGAACTCTTTTGTATCTCCCTACCCGTGGGTTACACTTTCCGGTTTCTCTGTATGACTTTTAATTTTTGGTTGAAAGGACATATTAGGTAACATATTGTAGTAATTCTGATTTCTCACTCCTTGCTTAGACTTGTGTTTAGCTGTCTGTCACTTCATCATTTAGTGACTTGGCTAGGCTAGTTTGCTATGACTTCTCCGAGGACAAAGCCATGGTCATCCCTGCAAATCGTCAGGGACGATAAGGGTTTACAGAGCTCCTGTCAGTAATCTATTTGCTGGATGTCCCTGTTAAACTGTCTGCCTCCTTTACTTTCATGCCCATCTGTTATGATTTATTAAGTCCTGGCTGATTACTCTATTGACAAAAACTTCCTGGGTGCCTACATTGTTTCATAATTTGATCCAATAAAATTTGAGGCCTGTCTTCGGAGTTTATCTTAACCTCAGAAGGGCTCTTCTTAGCTGTCTCCTTTCCTGGTTCTCTCTGGCAAACTAGGCAGCAAATGGGCTAGCTTCTTGCTCTTCATTAAAGGAAAATGTTGTTTTTGAGTGTGATTTGCTAGGCTTGAATAACCCCGTACTGTTTCACTGTTCCACATTCCTTTGGATAGAGTTCAATGTTTTTTTTTTGTTGTTGTTTGTTTGTTTGTTTTACACACTCTCCCTTTTCCTAGGCAAAGTCTCTTAGCCATTACTGTTGGCATTGGGTGGAATAGTGGACTCTGATCTCCTGGACTTGCTTCTCCCTAGATGGATTC